GTGATTCCGAAACTATAGATTTATTTATTTAATAATATATTCTTTCATATAAATAATGTTCCCTGGTTATAATTTGATATTTTTATATGCCAATTGAATGATTTCAAAAGATATAGATTTAGCACTTAATTATTTAATATAATTTTATTACAATTTATTTAGATTTAAAAATAAATTATATTACCGTAATACAATTGTAAATAACAAACTGGGTAGACTATCTGACATACTGTACAGTATTAAGTGAAAAATTGAGTTATTTAATTTACATAAGACAATATCATTGTTGAACTTTAAATTATCACAATATTCAATATGTAAAATTACTTTACATCAATTGGGACAGTCATTATTATTAGGTATTAATTTTCATTTAATATAATTTGGTTGATATATAATTTGTAGCTAATGTGAGCAGGTGAATTGGGAAATCCATATACAATTCATATGTAAGTTTTAGTCTTAATTTCTACTCATCCCATCCCATCAATCCATATGATTAAAATCTTAAGCTTTTTGTGGCGTAAAATAAAGTTTTTATGACTTTTTGATAAAATTGGATACATTGAATGCATCATTTTATTACTTGTAAACTAAATCGATATCTTTAAAGTTCTTTTATATAATTAATTAGCATAAGAAGTAACACAAATGACACCATTTATATCATATCATTGATTGACTTTGATTATGCAGTATTAACGTAGTTTAAACATAGTAAGCAATTTTTATAATTTATACAATACAACATATTGTACCACCAAAGCTAGTTTAGAAATTTTAAATTTCAATTTAAATATACTGTGTTACTATAAAATATTTTTGTAGTACAGTGTACATTTTATTACAATATTGTTTAATATTCAGTATTTGTCCAAATAACTTTGTTTTAATCACTTCTCCTCATATTATAAATTATAACATAATTTTTTAATATCTTTCAAATACTGTACAGTATATCAAGGTGAATTTTTGTATTTTTAAAGATTGCAATAAGTAACTGTGCATTTATTATAAATAACAAAAAGTTTTATGAGTTCTAGATTTCAGTGGACCCTCTAATATATTCAAAGAATTTATTAATATTTGTTTGTTTTTTCGCATATTGAGAAATTGTATCAACAAAAATTATTTTTGCAAATATTTGTCCAAATTTTTATTTTTCCACAATGTTTTGGCTTTGATATGTGAAGCCTTATCAGTCAAAGTTGAAATGTTTAGAAAACAATTTTTAAAAAATTATTTATCTAATTAAAAATTGATTCATATATTGTTTGTATTACACAGTTTGCGAAGTCCTGTATTTGCTATAAAAAGCATTTCATAAATCATTGGATGGATTGAATAAAAATAAGAAATCATTAATTTTACACGAAATCGATTATAAGATCAAGTTTTGTATAATTAATATCATAGGAACTCATTTAAACACAACCTTTTGGACAATTAATGCGTTTATATTAATAAATACTTTACGATCAGTGTTTGTATGATATTTATATTAATGACTTTTTATGGTATTTCTAAAGAATAAATCAAAGCAAACATCAACTTAATGTAAAACGAGTTTTAAGCTTAAAACCGCTTTTTAGCCAATACTTTACCCATAGACATAATTATATTGAATATAGAGATACATATTTCACACAATTTATTCATCCTAAATATAACACAAAATCATTTTAAAAATTTTATGTACCATAATGTAGATTTTAAAGTTTAAAATTTAAACTAAACTATAGAATCTATAGTATACAGTAGATTATAGATTACATAATATGTAATACATATAATGTAAAATTTTACATCTTTAACAAAGTTTAATGTTATCGAATTGAAATCAAATTTAGATTAAATTAATTAGAATTTTAATTATAAATATTTATATTTCTACTTTTCTACTAGTTTTATTAATCGTAAGTAATATTATTTGAATTGAATAACGTTAATTCCTAGTAATTTCAATTTCATAATTATTTGTTTTATCGTTTTAATGTTTAGTAATTTGTTGGAAAAATATCATTAAAGTTACTTTGATGTATTAATGTAATCTCTCTGTCTCTCTCTCTCTCTCTCTCTCTCTCTCTCTCTTAGTTACTCTAAATGTAATTTATTTATCAATTATTCATAAATTTAAACCACATTAAAATAAATAATTGAAAGCAATAATAAAAATCAGTTAATCAATTCATCATATTTATGATAAGATAATGTGTTTAATGCTAATTGAATTCCTAATAAATATTATGCTTATATTTAAATACTAAACATATTTGATTGCATAGAATAATGAAGTCGTATAACCATACTATTTATTAGTGTTTCAAAACACCCCCGTTCAAATTACAATATACTAAATAAATAATTCAATTTATTAGAAGCAATAAAACAATTGTAAAGTGATTCTCGTTTGGATGAAAGACCTTCACAACTCTAAAAATGTTTTTTAATTTTCTAAATTTTTCATTAAGTTATTGAAAATGCATTACAAAAGGCGTTTGGTGTCAGAAAATATATACAAAATTTAGCGTATATTTCAATTAATTTAAATGTATTCAAAAAGAAAGTCATTCAATACATTGTCTGATTTTTAATTACAAGTAATGTTTCATAAGATTACATGAAAAAGCATGAGATTTCGAAACACTTATCCCAAACATAAAAGTTGTATATTTCATGATAACAAATATGAATTAATTGTGGGCTAATGTGGAACATGGGTTGCAACCGATAGCTAAAGGACTGGTAGGTCTGGAGGTAACGCTCCACTCATATAGAGTTGTAGCCAATCTTGTGGCGGCACTCATTTGGATCCCAAATTAAATCTCAAATATTCAATATTAGTCTTATTAAAGAGGTTCTGAAGTTTGAATTCATTTCATTTGTTTCTAAAGTTTTTTAAGCGATTCTCAGCTTTTCGTGAGTTGTCTGTTCGTCTCAATACCTGTTTTCAAATGATTTTTCTTGTCTCAAGTGTTGTTATCTTTGAGATTCTTATTGATTAAACCAAACAAAGGTATGATTTTGTAAAAACAATCATTGATTTGATTTAGTTTTTCATAATTCAGTTTTCAGTTCAAAAACTTGAGTTAAAGAATAATTGTTTAACTCTAATAAAACTTGTATTACACGAAAATAGGTATAAATATGAGTTGTCTATGAAATAAAGTTAGCCATAATAAGCATAGAGTCATATGAAATCTATAATCAAGTAATGATTAACCAGTGATTGACTGCTAACCTAAAACTTGTATTACACGAAAATAAGTATAAATATGAGTTGTCTATGAAATAAAGTTAGCCATAATAAGCGTAGAGTCATATGAAATCTATAATCAAGTAATGATTAACCAGTGATTGACTGCTAACCAAATAAATTGAATTGAATTACAGGTCGAAATCGGGTCTCGGCGTGAAGGCATAGTTAGCATTGAGAGCGACGTCTATCGCATTGAGTGCAGTGTTTGAGTGTTGGAGTGAATCGTCAGACATAACGTCAGTCTATAGCGATAGAGTGACTGAGAGATCGTCCAAAAGATGCGAAACCAAAATATGGCTGAATCTAAAGCCTCCGGTTTTTCACGGGTTGTTCAGAAACACTCTCTGAGGGCCAAAGAAAGGGTAAGTGCTGTCCACCATCTGATCCCATTATGACCAACACCTGTCCTAACCATGTGATCATCACTTGGGTGTCTGTATGTGTGTCTGTCATGTATTGACACATATGTGTTGTGCTCTCTAATGACTCCCACTTTAAAGCGATTTGAAAACTAATTTGGTTTTGCTTTCAATCCATTTCAATGCCATTCATGTGTTGACCAACTCATGAGCCAGTGGTCAGTGTCCAGATGAATAGGTTGTGCCCACAAATGGACCCACATTTGCATATAAATGCACACAAATGGGAAACCATTGTGACCTCAATCATAATCACTTCAATTGATTCAACACTTTTCAAGTAGTCTTAAAAATAGTATCACTTAATGGTGTGTCCTATGAATGGCTGGCCTTTTGCCCAATGCTTTACCTCATGAAGGATACCAACACTTGGGATGTAAGACATGAGACTATAAGACAATTAGTTGCTCTCAATTGTATCCGATATTTAGCGTATTTATCAAACATTGCGTTTAATATTAAATTACACTCAAGTGTTGGCTATTTTTAAATAACTCTTTTCGCAAATATTTTATTCATTTCAATATAATTAGCATTTTTACCGTTTATACCATTTATTTACTCCTAAGACATCCACACTATTAGCTCACATTTCCCTCGCATTTCTAACTTATATCATGTCTAATATTTCACTATAAATTGTTACTATAATTAAAGTGATAATTATGTTTATCGCTGTTTATATGGGATTTATAGTCAATTTTATTACGTTAAAGTTAAATATATTTAATTTATTTGCAATGAATAATAGCTATAAGAATTTTGTTATCAATGATTATAAACCAATAGGAGTTTGTATGAATAATGTTGTTTTGATAACTTTTAAATTTATTGCTAAATATAGTTACAGTTTATTTTAAAAATTATTTCACATTTTTTTGTAGAAGTAATTTATTTATATTATGTTTACATTTTACGTAACATTTGTTTCAAATAGTAATGAAACTTTTTTATCTAAATTTATGAATTGGATTTATGTCTCGATGTTTATCATCACATGACTTAATTAAAACCTCCAAAATTATCCCATTATTGGGCCATTAAATAGAAAAGTGTTTCAAATATAAGAGTATAGTTAAGACACTTATGACTACAGAGTAATATAATATGATGTGATTTAATAGTGTTGTTATAATGTTTAGTCTGCCATTCATTCATAACGATGTCTTGAGAGTTGCTTTGGTTGAGTACATCCAAAGCCATTCTCTATGGTGTCTATGGTCTGTGAGCTATAAAACAACAATTATTGCAATCATTAGCTCTCAAATAGTATTTGACAACTATTTTCTAAATTCAGTTCAAATATGTATTGAGAGTTTTTTTTTATTGTAGTGAACTTGAAGTGAAACTAATGTTTATTGAATCGAAACGCTTTATTTTGAAATTAAGTTTTATTTGAAAAAATAAAATTTCAAAAGCAACTTATGTTTAAATGGCTTTGTAATGAAATTTAAAGGGATTGCAAAACTCATTATTAAAATTGAGATTATAGTGTGTTTTGGAGAAGTGGGCGAAACCTTACCATAAATATCTGCACAGATATTGTAGTCAAGATTGCATTGGAAATAATGAAACCGATTTGTAAATGTTTGTAAACTCAATAAAAAGTTTTTTAAACATATTTTTGCGACAATCAAGTATTTAAACAAAAACAAAGCGATTGTTTCGAAGGGAAGTCATATAAGTCTAAAGTTAGCTATAAATGAATTGTATTCAGAATTATTCACAGAATAAATATTTATTGACTAATAAAGGATTGTTTAAATGTATTGCTAAACAATTAGCACAAACTATTTGAATTGCGATTAAGTGATCCAATGAATTTTAATGTGATTATTGAATGTATTTTAATATAATGTATTGTATGGCGAGTGTAGAGTATATGCGATAATTTGAGGTCAAATAGTGATGCAAAGTTAGGAGAGTCTGTAAATCCTAACAAATCTGTCACTTCCTTAAGATTTGCGAATCTGATAGAAGAGGTCGAAGAGGTTTGCAGTAATCGGTTAAATATGTTCATAGCTTATGGCTAACGGCGCTTATGGCCGCTATTGAGTAGGAAGTGGACTGAAATAGTTATGTAGATTAGGAGCTGAGAGCTAAGCGCTGCCACTTCTGTCACTCGTCTAACCTTGAGTTACATCACAACTGCCTCCCAAACACACAACCAGTTCTTGATATCCCACTTATTAGCAGTAAATCTAATTCTTTATGCCATCAAACCTATCGGTGCTCTCTTGGTGTCCCATATCTTCTTATTTATATTAATAAACATTTAATGTTTTGACGCCAATCTCTATAAGGAATGAACAACCCAAAGAACCAAATGTTTTATTTGGTTATTAAATAATTAACTCAAATGAATACTTAAATTACACATAATAAGCCCACTTGACATTACTCGCATCCCATTCCCCAGTGTGATCGCATACATTACACCCATTATCTTATAAATTTCAATTAAGTCGACTTCATTTTAACGATAATTTCATTTCGAAAGTTATTACAAAACTTCGGCAAAGCGGACAAAACTACAGATGAGTTGTTTGAAGTCTATCAAAACAATTTCAATAAACAGCAAAAAACTGCCGATCGGCTCCAGAAGGAGCTCAAGAACTACTATAATTGCTGTCGAGAGATGCAAACGGCGTCCAAATCGCTGATGGAATGCGTACAAGAGATCTATGAACAGGAGTGGCCCGGACACGACCAGATCCACGTCAAGGCACAGACACTGGAACTCTTATGGGGAGACCTGTGCCACAAAATCAATGATCAGTGCACTATACCCTTAAGCACTTATTTGAGTCAATTCTCCGAGATTCGGGTGAGTTTGCACTTCCTATTCATTTCAATGCGAGAAATACACACTAAAAAAGGAGTTTTAAAGCATTCAAATTTAATTTCGTGAAAATTCATTAATTTTTAAAGTTTATTGATAAATCACACATTTCTGACAATCTTATGATTTTCATACCTCTCTTTGGAATCCGTTGAGTTCACGCCTTCTCTGTTGGGTTTCTCTCTAAACCCATTATTCAACTTAAATATCAAGCATTTTTGGATTAATTAAAAAACCTGATTTTAGGTCTCAATAATTATTAGAAAATTCTTTACAACATTTATGGGAAAATACAATGAATTATGGGAAAGAACTTAAACAAAACGGGAAATGCATTTGTTTTGCATAATAATAGCAACGAATTGTTGTTTTGTATGTATGTATAGAACAAAATTGCCAAAAGGGGTCGAAAACTGGTCGACTATGACGGCTGTCGCCATACGTTAGAAGCTGTGGAGACGGCCTCTAAGAAACGGGACGACATTAAGGTGGCGAAGGCCAGGGAGCAGCTCGAAGAGGCCCGACGTCTCTACGAAGTGCTGAATAAGGAGCTGCACGAGGAGTTGCCGGCCCTATACGACAGCAGAATACCATTTCTGGTGTCAAACCTGCAGACGTTATTCTCGGCTGAAAACACATTTCACAGCGAATATTCCAAAGTGTCCGCTCAGTTCTGTGACTTAGTGGACCTGTTGGCCGCCGAAGCTGCCAAAGGTGCCTATCATAGCAATGGCCGCCATATTATCACGTCTTCGCCCAACACGACCCTTAAAATCGATGCAAACACTGTTAAACCTTATGAAGACATTGAATCCTTTAACCCTTCGAATCGCGACATTAAATCCAATCAAGACTTACAAAGGATTTCTGTTACAAATGGATTGTCCACTACTGCACACACCGGAGATAACACTAGTAATTGATTTAAATATACAAATACTGTACAATAATATACCATTGATTGCATATATTGTATATTTTATATATAGTTCGCATCGAAAACACATCCAATGATACGAACGAATCGCTCAATAAATTTGAAAATAATTCTGTGAGTCATAAGTCAATCCATTACTGATTATACCTTTAACATGGTTATATAACTATAACATTGCTCTATAATACAGTAGGTTTAATGACATTTGACATTATATTTTTGTGATATATTCTTTTAATCCATTACCGTATATTGATTTTGCTAGTATTTTATTTAACATTAAGTCATACAAAGTTTAGTATATTTAAAAATAAAAAAGATTGTATCGTTAGATAACAGTACATTTATACCGTAATTGTTTATGTTAACAATTTAAACGATTCTCTGTTTTCATTTAAAAGATTATATCTTAACTAATCTATTGTTATAACATTTGCTGTTTTTATTTTCTATACTGTATAGCACTTACATTAGAGTATTGTGTAAAACACTTTCTTTGAGAACCCAATTCTCAACAGTCATTAAATATTTTATAGGTTTCCATCGATTCGACTCATATCACAGATTCTCATAAACCGGAAGTAATACATGAATTGAATGAAAAAAATAAAGCCGAAGAACTCTATGATATTCCTATCGGCGCCACGACTACTGATTTGCCTCCAGGAGTCTTATATAAGGTATTGATTAGTTTGACATTAAAAACATTATAAATAACTAATTTAATTGTTTATAAAATATCACAAACTTTACTTATAATGAGTGAATTTGCATAAACTGTAGGTTCGGTCGACATTCAAATACGCGGCCGTCGATGAGGACGAGCTGTCTTTCGAAACGGGAGAAACAGTTCATGTGATTGAATACGAAGATCCAGAGGAACAGGAGGAGGGATGGCTGATGGGTATTAGGGAACTGAATGGCGAAAGGGGTCTCTTCCCGGCCAACTTCACGCGTCCTATTTAGCACACATTGAACGTCCGTTAATAATAGTATTGTTCTCACAGTATCTATAGTTTAATATAAATTAAAAATCATTAATGCAATGCAACTAAGATTTAAGTCAAAACAAAAGGATCGAGAGGTTCGAGCGCTGCAATCATTGAACAAAAGTGCAAATACTATATTATGTCTAAACAAACGTTTATTTTTTGTTTTTTCTATTTAATTGTGCCATTTCTTAGTTAAATTACTTTAACACTACTTTAAAACACAATTGAGCCGTAATTTGATAAAAATGTATCAAAAGTGCTGACATTTCTCGCTTTGAATTATTTTGAATTAACGGTAAAGCAATCAATTACTTGTGATGTTTTATGTATTAAATGATATGTTTTTGCAAAATATACACTAAGCCTTCAATGAATGTCTAATTAAATGTTCCCTTAATTAACTGCACATACAATACAGTATACAGTAAATAGATGAAATATACAGTATGAAAGTATGAAAATAAAGCCCTTTATTTATTGCCTATCACATTATCACAATTTTATTAAAACACACATTACTTTAATTCTAATAAAGTATTAAATATTTATTTATAAATACTTAATTATCTAATTCACTAATATTTTAACTTTGTTTGAAAGTTTATTTTTAACATTTAATTATTTTATAATTTTTAATGAAATGATATTAAAATTCTCTAAGGAATGGCAAAAACGATTTTAATTTACTTTATGTTATTTTGATTTCAAAGTAATTTTGTTTTAATTAAATCAAAAATTATATTCACTAATTGCTTATCATTTATCTAGAAGAATTTGTGTTGAATTTATTTCATTGCTTTTATGTTTATTCATTATTCATGTTTTGATTAAAAATTATATGTGTTTGCCTTTACGTACAGTATTCACATCAGAATACTTGAGTGTCTATACTGTCTAGTCGTTTGTTAATTTGATTTATTATAAGTTATTATTTTGTTTAGAATAACACAAACGACACAATCAGACAATAGTTCACAACTATACAGTATACAAATTGGTGCTCTCTCTCTCTCTCTCTCTCTCTCTGCTTCTAATAATACTGTATAAGTAATGTTAGGAAACGATATGTGCTCTAAAAGTGGACAATCTTTGCATTCAGTAAATTGTCATTTCCTGATCAGTAGTAACACATTACTTGTGATAAATTTGAAATTTTGATATCAAATGAAATACCACTTGAATTGATAAATGAATTTTGAGATATTTAATTACATACACTATATTATACATAAGAAAATAGATTGAAGTATGTCTTCCAAATAGATGCCCCCAAACAATGATTTACTACTCGATAAGCCATACAAAAAACCCTAAACATGATGTGAATGTTTGCTATAAATATATTCCTTTATAACTCATACTGTGAGACAGGAATTGTAAAGTTTGTTAAAATGCAAACTACAGTTGTCTGTCGATTGATTGATAATTATATGCATTGATAGTGTATTACAAGAATTGTAATAATGATTGCTAATTAGAGAATGGAGTGGCCGGGCATTTATAATGTAAACCCTGTTTGTTGTGTGAAAACATTATAAAGTCCATCCAGTGATGCCATTAAGAGCCAATTTTCAATGGTTCCGAAGCCATTATACATGTCTTAAGCCCTAAATTATAGTTTTGGTATTACTTTCATAACTGATATCAAATCAATTGGTATTCTTGTACTAAACCTCTGCTATTAATTGAATGAAATGTCGTATTAATGTAAAACATTTTATCAGTCGATCAGCTCTTTTGCATAAATTATTTAAAAGCTTTAATAAAATGTATTAAATAATGATTTCAATGATAAGATATGTAATTAAAAATTAATGATTGAACCAAAAGTTATAATTATATACTGTACTTTCTAATCGATAAATACTGTAGTATTAATTTCTATAATTAAAACAATTAATATATAATGTCTTCACATTTGGTGTCTATTTATTATAATTCTAATGAAAACGAAATTTTAATTTTTAAAGATTTTAATTCAAAATAAAAGAATGATTTTCATTAACGTTTAATTTGTCTTTTAATTAAAATTTTATATTACATTAAATGGAGTAAAGTATTTATATATTTGAAAGATTTTTCCATATTATATGTTATTTGGAGACGAGATTAAGATTAGAAAACATCTAATCTTTGTATTGAATGACATCTCATTTCTGACACTTCTATCACTTCTCACCTAACATTTGATTCAACAAAATAAAATCGTTGTATTGATTACTGTCGGGAATATATTGTATAGTAATGTAGACATCGATAGATAACTAATTTGAAA